GGGGTTGCAATTATGCAAATGAGCTCTCGTGCGTATCTCTAGCCCTCCATTGTACTTTGCCGGACCAGGAGTAGGCCAGGCCAGCAGAGTCGCGAGCAAATAAGAATAGTAGACCACGTGATTAGATTGACCAATTAGCCTCAAGGTGTCAGGGTCATGGGTCAAAGGGCACGGTCGGGATGACTAGAAAACCCGCTGAGACAAGAGACGTCAGTTGATTGCTGGCAATTGAAGAGTGAGGACGTAGAAAACTGAGAAGGAGAGTGACAGTGAGTAGGGGAGCTGGGCAACGAAGAATAGCGGGCCACAAGGGACCAGGGGCGCCATAGCGAAAGTAGTTCCGACCGGTGGTCCGGTAAAGTACAATCTTACTCAAGACCTGTTTTTCCTAATTTTGGAATCGAATTGTATACAGACCCGGTAACCGGGAACAAAGTAGCAATGACAATGAAAAATTAAATTTTCATCCAAATTGCTTAAAAATGGGCTTAAATGAAAATAGAGTAAATTCTAAGAACTATGGTTTTTAAATTTTAAAAATCCATTGATAAATAAAAAAGTTATTGGGATTTTTGTTTGCAAAATGTTGGAGGACCTTCATATATATATAGGAAAAAATCGCCAAAATGTGGGACATGTTTTGATGTATTTTGAGGAAAAACTGTTCATAAGTCAGTAATGAATTGGAGCATGAATGAAACTTGGCATCTCCATGTGATTTTTAGTGCCGAATCTAGTTCTGCTATCACTTTTTCGGTGTCTTTGTCACTTTGGATCTTAACCCTGGACGGAAGCGCGTAGGCCCTTTATAAAGGGTGTGAGCCGGGCTACCCGGGAAGCGCGCACGCCCTATATATAGGGCTGACCTACTTCGACCGGGAAGCGGGCAGGCCCTATATAAAGGGCATAGATGCTGACCCTTTTCAATGGAAAATTCCAGTGTTCCTTATATGGAAAATGACGTAGTCAATTACAGGCCAAAGTTATAAATAGTGACCAATGACTTTGCAAGTTATCTTGACCTCGTAGAGCGTCTCTTGGCCGAGATATCGATCGATAAAGTGACGCGGTCCCGCTGAGCGACTACACGCTATGTGTTATCACTTGTTTCGCCGTGCTGATGTACTAATTGTTGAGTCTATCGCGTTCTCGGCATTGTTTGTATTTATTTGATCGCTGATCATTTTTGAATGGCTCATTCTATCAGCTTAAAGAAAATATATGCTTCTATATGCTTTTATCATCCGTTGAGCCGTAAATGGTCATTTTTCAGTAGCAGGTATACATTTTGGGTATCTCAGCTGTTTCCCCCCCGGCAAACCCCCATGTTTACAACTGATCGGCCGTGGCGGCGGGGCATTTTTGGCGGGTTACTTCCGGTGAAACGCTGAGCGCTTCTAGGGTTAAAGACTGATATTTGCGTGAAATTTGTTGAATTGCGTGACATCGTTTTTACAGCGACGCGATCACCCCTTCTAAAACTCAGTAAAGCGCTATCGGGAAAACCCGCGATGTAGTCATCGGTGACCCATTTGGTTATAGGCAGCCAATCACATGCCGCGTAGCGATCACGCGCCTCTTGTGTGCCGGCACCTCGCGTTTGGAATGCGCGATCAAGTTTCTAGATCTAGTGTTTTATCAATGGATGGGTGGTAATTTTAAGTTGGTACGGAAAATCTACTGAACGCAGAGATCTGAAATTTTACAGCAATAAAGAAGATATGTGGGGCGCTTGTGTGGTCGGCGATCAACCCGCAGCTCCGCTTAGTTTTCGGACCGCAGAGGAAATTCGCACAAACACGGCAATATCTCTGGTTCTAGTAATCGTTCGGGATTGTATGCTGGCATGTCGTTAGTTTAACCTTTCCTCTGGTTGGTTGCCGAGTTTCATTTATTTTCGTCCAGGAGTTTTCCCGTAACTAAACTTAGAAGAGAGTCACTTCTGATTCCAAGCGGCCCAAAAAATACCCCTCGCGCGGAGGCCGATTTCCGGCCCAAGGCGCAGCTGGCGATTGGCATTGCTAAACAAAGTCACGAAGTATACAGACCCGGTAGGGGAACTCTTGTGATTTCGGAAAGTTTCAGCGCCCAGGCCCGGTAGTGTGTGTGTGTGTGTGAGAGAGAGAGAGGTGCTAGCAAAATGTATATATGACATGCCCCAGTTGGCAGGAGGGAACGAGAGAAAGATAGCGAGTGGGAAATAGGTGGGGAGAAAGAAAGACAGAGACAAACAAAGAAAAAGAGAATGCGGGCGATACACAGAGAGAGAGAGAGAGAGAGAGTTACTGCTCGATTGAAATTATGAGATTGTTCTTTTCTTCAAATTGTGATTCCTCCAACTCCAAAACGGAGAAAAAACGATCGTTCATCGAAAAGACATCCGCAATCTTCATTTAGATCTAGATCTAGGCTAGCCTGGAACAAGATCAATTATTTATGTCTGTGTCTAGATCTAGATCTATACCTTGGCCATAGATCTAGAACTAGAACCCAGGTCTACCCTGAGCCAAGAGGGCGCTGAAACTTTCCGAAATCACAAGAGTTTCCCTACCGGGTCTGTATATACACTCCCTTTTGGAATAAGCCTTATGTCTATCGGTGTGGATGATCAAATTGATAAAAGCCAAGAAAAAATGACGTTATTTATAGCACAAAAGTTGTAAGCTAGATTTAGATCTAATTTGATCGTCTACAAAGATACTAGAGTAGGTTCAGGTCTACCGGCCGCTTAAGCCTTATCCGTGGGTGCCTCAGAGAAATGAAGACTGCTGACCAGAAATAAGATCAATACTGGAAAGGGATGTTATAAAATGTAAACCTCATGTGACCTGTTTCAGGTGAACCAGCAGATTTTGCATCACGTCTATCATTCTTATCCATGTTCTGCACATAAAATGGTCTGGGTGACATTTTTGATAAAACTGGCCACTTTTTGAATTTTAAGGTCAAACCAGCCACCCATTATGGTCAAACCGGCCGCCCTTCATGGATGTTATAAAACGAAATGTATACAGACCCGGTAATGGGGAACAAAGTCACGAAGTATACAGACCCGGTAGGGGAACTCTTTTGTGATTTTGGGAAGTTTCAGCGCCCAGACCCGGTAGAAATCTAGAAAGTGTGTGCGTGAGTGTGTGTGTGTGAGAGAGAGAGAGAGAGAGAGAGAGGTGCTAGCAAAATGTGACATGCCCCAGTTGGCAGGAGGGAACGAGAGCAAGATAGAGTGGGAAATAGGTGGGGACAAAGAAAGACAGAGACAAACAAAGAAAAAGAGAAGGCGAGCGATACACACACACAGGGAGGGAGGGAGAGAGAGAGAGAGAGAGAGAGAGAGAGGGGGGGGGGGCAGAGAAATAGAAAGGGTGACTGCTCGATTGAAATTATGACATTGTTCTTTACTTCAAATCGTGATTCCTCCAACTCCAAAACAGAGGAAAAACGATTGTTCATCGAAAAGACATCCGCAATCTTCATTTAGATCTAGATCTAGGCTAGCCGCGAAACTAGATCAAAGATTTATGTCTGCCTAGATCTAGATCTAGACCATAGATCTAGAAGAACCTAGGTCTACCCTGAGCCAAGAGGGCGCTGAAACTCTCCGAAATCACAAGAGTTCCCCTACCGGGTCTGTATACTTTGTGACTTTGTTCCCGGTTACCGGGTCTGTATACACTCCCGTTAAAAAAAGCTATTTCACTTTGTTTTTCTCTTTGATAAATAACTTATTAAGCTCAATTAGCAAAGTATCTGCCCTATTGCCAAGGCAGTGATCAATTTGGGGTTCGATTCCAGCATACCAAGGAGGTTAAAAGACTCTTTCTAGAAATTGGCAGAATATTTCCTTCACCGAAGACGACTGCCATACATTTTTCATACAAAATAGACCAATAAAAACAAGTTCATGTTCATGTTAAAATAATTTATTAACAACACAGGCCTGCAAAAGAAAAAGGCCATGTCCCTGGGAGAACAGTAAAAGAAAAATTACAAACTAAAAAACAACCCTGCGTACAAGTTTTCACACTACAAACACTCGCACGTCGTACATACAAAGTGGAATTCACTCGTCTCCTCCTCACTCATTGCCAGTATCTTTTCTCTGTCTCTACCCGTGCATCCTCTGTTGTACCACCTCCCACATTCGCACCCAATCCATCCGTCCAGGTCCCTGTCACTTGAACAAACAGCACATACACTTTCATCCACATCATTCACACAACACAACTCATCATCCATCTCAAAATCCGACCTGTCATCATACACCACTCGTGCATCATCATCATCTGAACTCGAACTTTCTTCCACTCTCCTCTTCTTGCCTTTGCCCTTCCCTTTCATTGCTGCCTCCTTCCTCTTCTTTTCCAACCTTTCTGCTTCCTTTTGTTCTCTCTCCGGGCGCTTTTCCTTTTCCTCTAACTTCTTCAACATCTTTTCCTCCCTCTTCCTCAACATCTCTGCCTTCCTCTCTTCCTGTGCCCTTTTCTTCGCCGCCACCTCTTTTTCTTTGTTCCTATGGAATTCCTTAAAGGAGACATGTGAAACGTAGGAGGGGGGGCTGTACTGTACTCGGGGCGCTCTAGATGATTTTCGCCCAGTTATAAACGGGGAGCGGCAGGTTATCGAATGTTGGTTGAGGAACAACTTTGTTCCACAATTCCAAGTACTTGGTGTACTCTGGTTCGGAGGCTGTCGCGTCATTTCTGAATAGACGACGCCTTATTTGAAACATTTCAACTGGTGACCAACCACAAGCCAGTATGTGGTCAATCAACTGGCATGTGTGGAATGCCACGTTCGTGTCTCGGCACCCACATTTGCCAGGGGTTGACATTGGGAACACAAGATGTTGAGGACTTGTGGCTGGGCCTGCCGAATTATGACTGGTAGAGGTGGAAGGGAAGACGTCAAGGCCAGGCTCATCAGCGGAAGGCAGTGCCCCATTACTGGGGGCCGAGGTGGAAGGGAAGACCCCAATGCCAAGCTCATCAGCGGAAGGCAGTGCCACATTACTACTGGGGGCCGAGGTGGAAGGGAAGACCACAAGGCCAGGCTCATCAGCGGAAGGCAGAGCCACATCACTGGGGGCCGAGGTGGAAGGGTCGCCCATTCCCTCAATGAAGGAACCAGGAGCCACTGAGGTCTTGGCCTAGACTGCGCTTGCCTGGCACTTTCGATAATCAAGGTCATTAAAATTGTCATTTCTTGGGGACAATTAAAATGAAAATTAAATTTTAAAACAGTATTAAAATGTCAGCTGAACAGTCGGTTTGGAAAATTTGAGTCCGAACAGCCATGGGAGGCTATTCAGACTTCAGTCTGAATAGCCACTAAACGAAGTGACTCTTTCTCCGAACACTCGGGAAAATAAACTTGACCTCTATTCTATTTCTTCGAACGGTTTCCGTTCTCGAGTTTTTTTGTTATTTGCGAGAGTTCGGCGTCATTGTTCATTCTGCCATTCTGCGAGTAATGGGAAGAAGCATTTTTTGCATCGAGTTCAATTTCTAGAGCGTCTAGCCTAGAGATTTTTAGATGTCTGAATATTCAGATACTTAAATTGTGGTTGGAGAAACGTTCCCGACCTATACTTCGTTTGAAAATGCCTTCCAAAGGTACTAGGAGAAAACCAAACTGCTCGACTTTGGCAGTAACCTATTTTGCATTTAGTCACCCCTAAAGCAACACACACTCTCGCGCGCCGGTACTCCATTCGCAAACAACCCAAAAATGTCCAACAGTTATGTTTTTATTTTTATTTGCCTTCCCCTTCTAGATCTAAAGTAGATTGGTGGTTCTTCAACACTTTATGTAGCAATGCCTATCGTCTGCTGCGCTTGGGGCGGAAATCGGGCTCTGTATGAGAGGTAATTTTTGGATCAGAGGTGGCTCGTTTTTAAGTATAGTTACGTGAAAATACGTGGACGATAATGAAACTTTGAAACCCAACTTGAGGAAAGGCCAAACTTACTATATGCATGCATCCAATGCCAATAGGTTTCTAGAACAGGAGAAATTGCCATTTTGTTCTACGGTTCAAAAACGTAGAGGAGCTGATGCATGGACGCTGACCAGACAGGCACCCCATATGTCTAATCACCTTTATTGCTGTAAAATTTCAGAAACCCGTAGTACATTTACATACCAACTTAAAATTACCACTCATCCAGCGATAAAAGTCTAAAGCCGGAAAGTGGGTCTCAATTTGAAATAACTCACCAGCTGGCATGTGAAAAGAGCATGATCGCTAGGCGACATGTAGTTTGCTGTCTAAAACTTAAGTCACCATTGCCGTTTTTGCGCCCATTGCAGATTTTCCTTTTGTTAACCCTGGTCCTGCTCGCCTGCGTTCTGGTCCGGTGTCAGTCTGGCCCCTAGCTCAGCGCACGCGCGCCGAGCATCATCTCCCATTTAATTCGGGTCCCGAGTCGGATCCGCATTCACGCAGCTCAAGTGTGTGTGCATCAGTGTGCTTGAGTTTGTGTGCATTTGTGGCCTTCTTCTAGAACCGCCTGCGTTGGTTCGTGACCGAGGCATACGTCTCATTCAAAACACGCCAAGTTGGTAGCTGTAGATGTTGGTCCAATGAAATTATATAGAAGAAATTGACCCACTTAGACATGAGGAGCTCGAAAGGGTAGTCAGGAAACAAGTCTTCCATTTTTCTATACAAAATCTTTCAAATGAGCTTGATTTTGTATGAAATGATACTACCTGATAAAAACTAAGCTTGTTTGATAATTTTGAATACCATTGTGCAGGTACAAAGAACAATTTGAGTGCAAAACATTCGGAAATTGACCTCTGTATTATCCCCTTTGAACCCCAGGTCATTCATAACAAGAGCATCTAGAAAGGTTATTCGAATGGGCGTAACTACTTTATTGTCTTATCAGCTTATGAGAGGGGGTTATTCATGTGTTTTACTATAAAGTCAGATGGTTATTGTATGTGACTAGTTTGTAGTTCTATCACTGACTATGGCAAGATTAAATTAAAAAGCTTAATATGTCTGTTAAGGGAAGTTAACGTCAATATCATAATTAATTATTTAAAGTCAAATCATTGCTAAGATTGCTGGTTCTCAGCTTGATATGTTGGTTTCGTTGTCAAATATTTAACAGCTGGTCTGAACAGAATGTGATTAACAAATTGCTCCATATATCTGCAGGGTTCAAGTCATGGACAGTTATTAGTTGATAAATATGGTTTATATATTACATTACATTTTTTTTCATTTTTCTGTTTTTAGGATTATCGACAGAATGCCGAAGCAGCTAAGGCAGCCCTTGATGGGCTACAGAGGAAGGGCAGAATACTCAGAATAAGATTTGCTACCCATGGTGCTGCACTCAAAGTAAAGAATCTCCACCCATATGTCTCAAATGAACTTCTTGAACAGTCGTTTTCTCAATTCGGGGATCTGGAGAGATGCATTGTCATTGTGGATGACAGAGGCAAATCCACAGGAGAAGGCATAGTGGAGTTTGTGAGGAAACCTGGAGCTAATTCAGCCCTCAGAAGAATCAATGAAGGAGTTTTTCTTCTTGGAGTGTATGTACTTCTTCATATTTTTTGTACATTGTCTCTTATTATATGTCTTACCATTTTATGCATTCCAATAATTTGTTCCATCAATTTTTTTTGAGGAGTTTTTGTTCGAAGGACCCTAGAAGTGGCCTTGTACATAAAGATTTTAACATTTAAGTTTTAGATGCAGTGAGATTGGTGACTTTAGTTTTTATTAAGCTCTTTTCAATCTTATTATTGGATGCTTTTGGGCAAAATTACAGAACTAAGTACAGGGTCTGCGTACCATAGGATCAGTCCTTGTTCTGACATTGTACATGATTAGATAGGAATGTTGATGTTTTTGATTGCTTCATTCTTGCATAATGATTTCCAATTTCTAGAGACCCCAAACCAGTTGCTGTAGAGCCATTGGAACAGAAAGATGAAGAAGATGGCATGCCTGAAAAGTTCCTGACCAAGACAGAACAGTACAAAAAGTATGAATATTAATATTGTTGTGGTTTAATGATTCAAGGACCAAGTTGATTTTAGGTACATGTATCAAATTTCTCTAGGTTTTATATGTTGATCAGAAATGTCTTTAGTTTGCACTTTTTATGAATAATAGTTTGCACTTTTATGAAAAAATTACGAATTTCCAGAATGGTTTTTGAATGAGAATGAAGCCTGTAAGTCAATTCGAGAGATTTTTTGCTTTAGGTGTAATATCAATAGTTTGAATCTAATGAGTGCCGAAAAGTGTGCTAAGGGTATGGGGGGGAGGGGTTACTTTGCCAATACCCATCATCCTGACACGTTGGGTGGATAGAGGCTGTTTTTTTTGGGGTTTTTTTGTTGTTGAAAAGTTGAGGTATTGGTATGCATAACTAAACAGTTAGAAAGTTTTCAATGCTTTTGTGTTTTTAATTTTATATACAGTCGAACCTGCCATGACGGCCGCTTTCCATTTCGCCCCTTGCGTTTTTTCTATATAATTTCACTGTGTAAAGTGGCCACCATATTTTAACACACAATCCATATCACACCAAACAATAACACCTGTCTTAGGTGGCCACCTTAGTGGCTCCATTACGTTTTGTCATGTTAGTCATAAATTATGCATTGGCCCCTGGTGTTCTGTCCGAGCTGTCATATCCAATCACCTGTCGTTATTAGGTAGTCCCTCCAACTGATCATGTTGCGTTGACCCCTCCCACTGTTGACCAATAGGTAACAAAATTTGTAGCTGCTGGTGAGGTAAGCGTGTGATCCCTCATAACCTATAAGCCACGCCCAAAACTCGTACACAAATCGTAAGTGAGATGAGTGGTCACTGTTTACCCCAGTCTGTAACAAAGTAACAATGGACGTCAACATGAACTTGCAACAGGAGCGTCGCTCGTTCTCCTAGTGGTGGCGACCCATGTGTTCGTTTTAACATGGCACTCGTCTTACTCATCTGACAGATATTTAGTTTTTTTGTCACCCTTGTGCAAAATCAGCAATAAAATAAATATAACAAACGAAATACAAACCAAAAACAACAATGCGGCTACTTTTGGTGGGGACCTCAGAAGGGAATGGTTTGTTTTGTTCATCTTTATCAGTCCTGCCTAAGACAGCAACCTGTCTTATACGGCCACTTTTCTCCTTGACAATTGGGGGCCATCTTACACAGGTTCGACTGTACTTTTAAGATTTTTTGGTCATTGTCTAGATTTACATCCTTACTCGGCCCAACATTCTTATTATCACTAACACTTGTCGTTGCATGGCAAAAGTTCTGAATCTCAGCTAAAAATTGTTATTATTGCTTCATTGTTCTCTTATGGAATAAACCTTTTTCCCCTTCAGTATTTTGTAAAGAGGAGGACATCCGTAATGAGCGACCACTATGAGACAGAGTAGAACAGAGGAGTAGGTTTAGGGTAGGGTTAGGTCTCTTCTTTATTGTGTGTGTTGGGGTGGTCGCTTTTTACGGAAGTCCTTGTAAATAGTTATCCCTGTATTTGTTCGAAAGTATACTTTACTCACCCCCCGGGGCAGTGCCACTGACTGTAGTGTCTTTAGGCCATTCCCAAAAGGGGGTAATTTCTGGTTCAAGCACAGTAGAATTGTAAATGGGCTGATTCATCATGTGATGCTCATAGCTGCCTAATCAACAACATGGAACTGCTGCTTTTTCTTTCCTAATCCATACTATTGTCATTTTCCTCTACTTCTTTTGTATGTTTGTCACACTCTTGTGACCCGCTATTTCCGGGATGCCTTGATAATCGAAGCAGACCTTGTGCTGTTGAAGCTAGAGAGGTGAGCAGAGTGAGTCTGGGGGCTCTCGTGGCCTAGAGATTAAGGTGTTGGCCTCTCATTCAAAGGTCCCGGGTTCGAATCCGGGTAGCGACCGAAAAATTTCCTTCTCTAAAATTGTCTCCTTTCACCTCCTTTCCTGCTCTCTAGCAATATTCTGTCGTCTGCTTTTGTCTCCTCTTTCTGCCCCCACCCCCTCATCTCCTTTGCCCCCTCCTCTGGGCTTCTGCACTCTTTCTGCAGCCTTTCTGCTGCTCCTCCTTGACTCCTTAAAGCTGTCTTTCTGCCACACCCCTAATCTTCTGGTAGGAAAGATCTACACCTAGCCTTCTCGGACAAGGGCGAAAAATCTCGGAGGGCCCGTGTGCAAGTTGCGCACGTCAAAGATCCCTTGGTAGTCTAAAATCGATAAGAGTGGGCTTCGGCCGCCACCCGAGCAAAATTCAAAATTTCCTACCAACTAAAAGTATTAGGTGTGTCCCGCGCGCTCATATGACCGTATGCAGTTGATATATATAGATATATATATACTCTGATGTATTTTTCTGAAAGCATTTTAAATTTGGTATATGTATTAGTGCCAGTTATAACAATAGACTTACAAGCTTTGCTATGACTTGCTCAAACAGGGAAAGAGAAAAGGAGCCAAGATTTGCACCCCCTGGTACTTTTGAATATGAATTTGGCATGCGATGGAAGCAGCTAGAGGAGCTTGAGAAGCAACGCATTGAGCAAATTAAGAAAGACACAGAAGACGCTAGACTCAAGCTGGAGGATGAGATGCAGAATGCTCTGTATGAGTACCAGGCAGAACAAATTAGACAAGGTTTGTAGAAAAGTTTTAGATAGTTTTAGCGCTATTTCTATTGTCAAGGATGCTGATTGAATGCTTTGGTTTATTTGTTGGAAGAAAATGTGTATGATAGCTTACACAATTTTGAATTTTTATTATTATTTAAAATGGATCAAAATACTTAATGAATTAATTAAAAATATTTTTAGAGCTTTTTTGGTGCCTGGTGAACCTGCCTCTTTCAGTAATTGCTATCCTCTCTAAATTACAGATTTAATCAGGCAGCAAGAGGAACTTCGTAGACTTGAGGAGCTGAGGAATGCTGACAGGCTGAGAAGACAAGAACAGCTGGAGATCAGGTAATTATTCTTGTACTAATAAAAAATGAATTTTGCTTTTGTTGTGGAAGTTTGCACATTGTTCCTTGAAAGACAAGAGTGTTACTGTTATTTCAAGTGTATCGCTAATAGATTTGGTTATTGGAAGTTTTGCAAATCATTCCTTGTGGAAGAGTAGTTAATGTGGGTGGTTGGCGGGTGCTCTGGTGTGGTTTGCTTCTTCTTTCCTATCAAACATCTATCGTCCTTATCTTCCCTTCTTTTTTTACATGTTTGTTACTCTCTTGTAACACCTCTAATCTTCTGGCACTTGCATGACCTTATGCAGTTGCGAGCGCCGTAAAACCTCTGCTATTAAAAAAAAAAAGAGTAGGTCATCAGTAGGATTGTAGAGTTTGACTGACAGGACTTCATGTCTTGCTCCAGGGGAGTGCTCATGTTAATGTTGTAGTTTTCCCTTTACCCAGACCTGAAGGGTCTAGGTAAGAACGCGTAGTAGATTGATTATAGAATTCAATTTACCTTTGAGTCAGTCGTTTGTGGTTTTAGACTTGAGCACTTGCTCTTGGCTGTGTTGAAAATATGATTTGTGCGCTGCACTTTTGTGGTATGCTTTGCTCTATGCTCAATTTAAATTTATAATGATATTTTTTTATTTAGCTTAATTTTTACTTTTGTTAAAAAGTTATTTCATCTTGGCAGCAGACTAAAGCTTGCAAATTTTTCATAGTTAAAGATGCTCACATTTTTCACTCTCCCTATAGACGCCAGCAAGATGACCGCGAAAGAGCTCAAGCTGAAGAAAGGCGCAGAGCTGACATGATGATGAATATGAGACAACAAGAGATTGCGAGCCGTAGAGGTCCTATTGACCCTCCTTCGATGAGGCAGAGAGAGGAAATGATGGTAATAATTTTTTGTCTATATTCAATTATATAAATGACTAAAACACAATCACAACCTAGGCTTTACTTTTTCAAAACTTGCCCTCTAGAAAGAGGACATGTCATTTGATACTGTTATTGGCATGAAGACTGTCTGTATTATTTTATTGTTTAGTTTTAATAGATTTACTCGGATCTTATGATCTTACTTTTACAGTTGTATATGCTTTCAAAACTTTTGTGGAAAGTGGTCAGATGTAATCAAAGTTGGGGGTTAGTTTGACATGAAAATTTTAATTTGGTTTTTAATTGAAAGAAGGCTTTATTGTGAAGGCTTAAGCGCAGGGTTATGTATTGTTACTGCAGTTGTGAATGAATGGATGATGCTCTGCTATTGTATATCATTGAGTGGGACATTCTATAATGCCTGGGTCTTCTCTCCGTGTTTTTCAGATGGCTGACCGCTACGGTGACCGCATGGGAGAGCGTATGCCTGAACGCATGGGAGAGCGTATGCCCGAACGTATGGGAGAGCGTATGCCTGAACGCATGGGAGATCGCATGCAAGAGCGTATGGGAGAACGCATGGGTGATCGCATGCCAGAGAGACACCCAGACCGAATGGGTGGACAGCCTTCTGGCTTCATGTGGCAGGATGAGAAGGGCCGTGGAGAGGTGAGATTTTTAAACAAATTATTGGTTTAAAAGCATATTGACAACTGTTTTGGCACATTCCATGTGGGATTCTGTTGCTTCAAATTTGAAAGTGCTGAGTTGAGGGAAGTCTTTACAATGGCGTTGATTTTTTACCCTTTTACTTGAAATTTGTATTATGTTTTAAAGCTTCCCTCAATATGTCTTCCTTTCAGTAAAAGTAATGGGAGTCAGTGGTGTTATATCCTTTGAAATATCTCAGAACTTAAGGCAACTGAACTATTTCAATTGCTAGAGCAGTATTTCTCCACTATCAAAAAGTGTCATAAAGCAAAAAATGTATGAAAATTGGCATGTAGTATTAAGAGCAGTGAAATGTGAAATTGTTTAAAGGGAAGGAAGGAAATTCTGATTTTGCTTTGAAACATTTCTAAGTAGCTACTAGTCGTGGATTTTTCTTAGTTACGGTACTTGTAACAGGACCAGTAGTAGTGTAGTACAGAAAATCAAGATGGGTCTGTTGGTATTCATTGAAGCAGCCAGGCTGTTTTGGAATATAAACACGTATGTACAATAATTTGTAATCATATGCAATATTTTTGCCAACAGAGCTCTCTAATATACTTAATAACTGAAACTTGAGGATTCTTGGTTTTCCTCCTGGTACCTCATTCATTTGCAGCTGCTTTGCAAACCACTCATTTAAAAGACAGTATTACTAAATTTTTGGGTGGAGCAGCTTCTCAACTAGCGTCGAGAGTGTTTTACAGGAATGCAACCTGGGCATTTTGAAGTGATAATTTTTTAATTGATGAAGCAGATTTTTCTGTTTCTTATTTTTTAGTCAGAAATGTATGTTAATGTTCATCCGCGTACCAAAAATCTGGAAAAGATGAGTTGAAGAGCGAAAGAGAATGCAGAAGATAACACTGACATGGAATGTGCCGTTTACTTTTACTTTGTGGTTCTTGTATGGATACTTTTACAATTTTGTTGACTTTGTGGTGGGACCGATTGACCACTCAGAATAAGAAATGTTAGTTGCGGAAGAGGGTGCTCAAAGATCACCTCAATAAACAGTGTGCTTATATGGAATTTTATGTTGTATCAACATAATCAGGAAGGGGGAGTAATAATCTATGAACTCTCTCAATAATTTATGAATGCTGACTAAATTTCATAAACCTTGTTTTGACTGGTTGTCGAATTATATTTCCTCCCATGATTATTATTTGAGTGGTCCATTCCCCCCTTGATTAGAAAAGAACTCTTTGTATAAACCTTGTCCTGTGTGCATGAAATTTTTTCTGTTGTTCTTAATCATAAATCAAAGGAAAATAGTTGATTCAATTTGAGGCCGTCTATCATGTAGTTCAGCTTAAAGTGGTCAGCCTCACACGTTTGTGTTTCCCATTGCTGCCCCCCAGGGTGGAATGAGAGGTGAGCCCCAGCGCGGTCGAGACATGCGAGGCTCAGGGGCGCCACCCCTCCAGCCCCCACCTGTTCCTCCGTCAGGGATGGGTGCAATGGAGCGTGGTGGGCCAGCAGCTGTATCAGCTGCAGCTGCTGCTGCCGCTGCTGCTGCAGCTGTTGTTGCTCAGAATGCTAAGGTAATTAATGTTCTAAATTTTTGTGATCGAAGGAGATTTGTATTTCAGTGAGAAGAAGCATATTCTTTTTGTTCATGTCAATCTTTATTTTAAAAAATTAACATTCAACATTTTGTGTGTGTACTGGAGTGAATGAGTTGTTATGAAGTTTAGTATGTATAGAATTTGGGGGATGCAAATAGACGACTCATGAGATGGAGAAAATAGAATTAACAATTTTTAAATGTCAAAATGTAATTTTTACCTCCAAAAGCTTTTGATGGTGCAAGCTTTTTAAAAATCGTTTTTGTTATTATTTTGTTTTGTTTTTTTAAATCAACAGCTTTTGCATTTATTAAGTTGCCCATGACTGGTCATCTCCGTGAGATTTTGAATAAAATCGCTGAGCTCCAAAAGTCATAAGGGATTTTAGGGAAGTCATTGTATTGGTGAGAAACCAGAGCAAATAATAACATTCTCAAAATCATGGAAGTAATGTTAATCAGTTATTGTTACTACTTATGCTGTGTGCGATATGTATTTATCAAGTGTGAGGGAGACAACAACACCCTCCCCCCCTCCCATTAAAAACTGAGAGAGACAGTCTGAGGCAATGTTAGAATGGGAGCTGAAATTTTATTTCAATAGAAATTGAAGGGAGCCTCTGTACCAAGTTGAGCACATTTGAGGAACACTAGTTTTGCTATTTAGTGGTTCTTGTACACTCACCTGAAACTGAAATCCTCTTTCTTATTTTGAGATGCACACAAATTCTATTATGAGAGGCCATATATTATTTTCATAATTGTGTCTGCTGATATGGCACATGCACACATACATATATGCCCACAATACCTATGTGAGGTTTTCCTGACTCTTGGGTATTTTAATTTCTTCCCCTGCTTCTTGTCGTTGAGAAGTTTTGGCTTTCTGTTTGTGGTGTTATTGATTATTCTGTAATGTAAGAGGCTTGTTATGTTTTTTCAGGAATTTTAACTACATATGTCATCTGACTAACAGGAAAAATCCAGTTGTGTAGAATGTCGGTTAAATCATAATTTGATTTGTGTTCTGTGTAAGGAAATAATTTGATGTTGCGTCAGAGGTTTTCCTTTAAAAATGGGAATATTTTACTCTAAGCAAAATTTGAAAAGCTTATTAGATCAGTGCTTCCTATCTTCCACATTTTTATGGAAATCTATACTTTCTGACATTTCCATACTTGCTCCTCAATCGTTATCAACTCCATTCATACAAAAGTGCAATAGTGAAGAGTTACTGAAATTCCGTCGCAAAGGATCCATACTCGCTTCGTATCGTCTTGTATAAGTTACGGATATTAACAGTAAATCTCTCGGCAAAAATTTGATACAATAGAAACCTGCCAGACTGCGCATTTTCTGCAATCGGCAACTATCCCAGTGTGCATACATCACGGGTTGGTGGGCAAATACGTTTTTACCAGCAAATTGATCAAGATCTGGCTTGCCATGACAGGAAACTTTTTGTGCCAATTTCTTCCTTGCTTTCATTCACCCATTCTGTCTATCTTCGGATTGTTGCTGGGGCTAGAAAATCTATGCATCGATCAAGTCAATTGACTTGTGATTTTAGTGAGAAAGAAACTTTTCAAATTTTTCTGGACTAAATGCCTTTTTCAACCCTCTTAAAGTTAAGGCACTAAATTTCAATTTCTCGGGGGGCTTCGCCTCCTGTGCCCCCACCGGGAGACAGTTTTCCTTACTTTTCAGCTTCATCTGTTGGAAGCATTGTTGAGGCTGATGTCTATTAGGCTGCCTGAATTAATATACTTGTTTTAATTGGGGTCTTGAGGATTATTTGAAGTAAATTGTTAATTTTAAAAGAACATGATTTTCCTGGAATTACATGGTAGAGACTTGGGGAAAGAAGTCTTGAAGAGTGGAAACTGACAAAGAGCTAACAGGGAAGCAAAATTAAGACAAACAAGAGCCGCAGACAGGGAGATACAGGCTAAAAAAGGGACACAAAGGTCAACCACATGTCGGTGTGGTCGCTGTGGGTACACTTGCTGAACCTGAGTGCTTCTTTCTTGTAAAACCTAACAAATCCTGTGGCCCTTGAAGCTGGGTGATACCTAAGGTGAAGCAACCTGTTTTGAAGCAAAGCAGTAGGATGCACTGCTCTGGAGATTTCTGTGAAGGATGAAAGGTGGATTTGTGATTTTTAAAATTTTTTTTTTGGGTGCTCTCTAAAAGTCTGTTTAGATGTGGCTTTTCTCATTGGGCTGTCAGATTACGAAAAGAATTGTGATTATTTTTTATGGGGGGCTTTTTTTTGCTCTTCAGGATAAACTGACAAGGCCTGCAGGAAGGCATCAAGTTTGAGATTATGTTGAACTGAGGGATTTTTTTAACCCTTCTTTTTTTTTTTCCCCCATTTTCAGTCAAGTCCAAAACCTCTGATGCAGTCAGGCTCTGGCTTTGGCGGGCCAGGCAGTGGAGCAGGAGGACCAAATAATCCCAATGCTGGACCAGATGGCCCCATGGTGAGCATTTTTCTGTCTCATGCTGTTGGCTCTCCCCTTCTTTGTTCACATCCTAACTTTACAAAACTGATTTGCTGCTGAAAAAGGGAAAAAGACACACACACACACTCTCCCCCATCATACCCTGTGTTCCCTGGGGTTTTTTTTCCCGTGCTACTTTTTCAGCTGCAGTTCCAGTTGTTAAAAGCCTGATGAATGTTTTATTCTCCGTTATGTGCGTCATGCATTCTAGCTAATTACATTGATGCATCAAACCAAAGCTCAAGGCGCAGGAATGGTTTGCTGAGTACACACATCTTCAAGAGTTCTGTCTTAAAAAGTATTCCTCTGTTGACCTGCCATGGTTATAGCAGCAGTTCCCGCTACTGGAATTCAGATGCGTGAATTTTTTTTTGGTGTTTTTTGTCTTTTAGTGGAAAATGTATACAGTAATGTGAGTTTTTAAGGCTACCAAGTTATAGAGAAATGCGAAATTGCATCTATAGCTGATGGCAAATGGTATGCTGAGTACTTTTAGGACTTGGGACTCTTTAAATGATTTTTTTTTTTTCTTCATGCCTTTAAAAAAAAATCTACAGCCTTTTGTTTTACTAAAATTAAAGCTTGATCAAATAGATATCAAACATATTGGCCGTATACTGATGTTGTCTGGGGTATATGTACTGTAGTTTGATTTTCATTTGTGTTTAGTTGGCAATCAAATGGATACCTGGGTCAAAAATGTTTTTAAAGCATCTGCACCGCTTTTGTTCTTTAAACGTTATATTAAACCCTAGTGAATCCTTTCGACTCGGACATTGTGATTTCGAAATTTCCGCAAAATATTTTTCCTTCAATACGTATCCTGCAGTAAACTGAGTTCTAAAAGTATGCTCTGATACATACCAGTTGTTCACACACTCTCAACATTCTTTGGTATTTCCTGAACTTAAACTGGATAGACAGGACAAGAATAAGACTGTTGTGGTAACCAAAAGTAGTGTGGGTTGTAGAAGGGCTGTCCTCCATAACGAATCTGACTGAATTATTACGATTTTTAATTCAGTTTTACGCAAATACGATCGTAATACCCCTGATTCCAATCTTTAAAAAAATTCGGCTTCCCCAACCCACTGCCAACTTTTCTGGTGTATAAGTGGAGAAAAGTAGATAAAAAGCTTCCAAGCACGGACAGTCTATGTCACTACGTCATGTGCAGTTGTCTTAACTTCAACAGTATTAACACCCTCTTTGTGTTGAGCCCTTTTAGTCACTTAAGGGCCACTCTGCCCTTAGAAAAACATTAGACTTTAGAAGTGCCAAAGCTAGGAATAAGGCAAATATTAAACTAACAAGGTGTTAAAAAATTCCTGCTCTTTTGTATCATCATGCCTTTATGTTGAATTTATACTATACTGGACAACAATCTCTGTCCTTGACACCCCATCGAAGATGATTTTCCCTGGCCATGTTACGAATTTCTAAACCAGTTTACTAATTTTCTATCTGTTGATTACTAAAACATACGCTGGTGGGTGGGCAGCCCTGTTGTGAGTGTGATCAGGTGTAAAAAAGAAAAAAGAAAAGCAAAATGATCTCTTCATTTGATTAATGAGACTGTTAGAACAACTTCCGTGGTAAGACATCAGTAAAAAAAAAAATTAGGTTTTTAAAAAAAATCCTTTCCTTGTGTCTATTGTTCAACAATGCATCAATATCTGCACTTTTCTTTCATTCGAATGACAAACTTTTGTCTGCTCTTTGTAGCTCTAGATGTACCATTTCGGTATAAACGTTCACGTTCCGTTTCACTGTGTGTATATATTGTATGGGGGGACTTCCTGTGGTGGGAGCTGAGAGATTTGTTTAGTTATTATTTTTTTAACAAGGAGAGGCGTGGACGGTGCTATGTAAGGTTCAAACCCTTGCCCTTTATTTGTAGTTCCTAATGTTTATTTTGCACCTGTGGTGTAATAATAATACTGTTTGCCATTGCACCAGAAGTAAATTCAATGGTTTTGAAAACAGGAAAACAAAGGGGGGGGTGAATGAAAGCCGGTTTGGGGTCTGTGATTTTGTAGTTAAGAGTATAGCATATGGTTTGGTACAATCTCCAAGGGGTACGTGGTTTCAACCATCTCTTTCCATGTCTATAAGTCCACGTTGGATATGAATTGGTGCTTAAATCTTTCTTGATTTTACTAATTTATATCGGACTGACATAATTCCTAAAACTTATTTTGACAACTTTTCACGGAAAAGAAGGGAAAAGAACTTTGTGTTTGCAAACATTGAACTCTCATCGCTTTCGGTTTCAAATTTCATCAGATTCCGGTTATAAGCAACAGCACTTGTGTAAAGTTTACAATATGCCCCTTGTTGGTTTTAAATATCTCTCTCTCTCTCTCTCTCTCTCTCTCTCTCTCTCTCTCTCTCTCTCTCTCTCTCTCTCTCTCTCTCTCTCTCTCTCTCTCTCTCTTTCTCTCTCTCTCTCTCTCCCCCCCTCTCTCTCTCCCTCTCTCTCTCTCTCTCTCTCTCTCTCTCTCTCTCTCTCTCCCCCCCTCTCTCTCTCTCTCTCCCCCCCCCCTCTCTCTCTCTCTCTCTCTCCCTCCCTCTCCCCCTCTCCCTCTGTTATTTTTTGGGGTTTTGTTTTGGTTTCGCTTTACTTGTCACAATTAAAGTAATACAAGCTTTCAACTCAAGTTCTGCACCTCACAAAGTCGGTCGGGCAACAGTAGAAGTACAGAACACCATTTTTTGGCTCATGATACAAAAGACAACAAGAATATTGATGTTCTATCCATCAATAAGCTTTTCTGGAATCCTCCCTCAGAACAATACACTTTCCCAACTCTCATGTCCAATAGTTACTGGAAAAATCACCAACTTAAAACTTCACGTTATGTTGCACTGGTGTTATGTTTGACTTAGTGCAGTTTTCATGAAGAATATCTATGACAGAGAGGAATGAGCTCTCTCTTTAAAAAATTTTTTTTTACTTCTTCCAATACTTCAAGCGTATTGTACTAGCCCTACAACTTTGCATGGCTTCTCACTTTTCATCTTTTCATGCTTCTAATATATATTTTTTTCTCCCCCATTTCGAGTCATGTTTTTTTGGGTTTTTAAAAAAAATACTGTATCGTTACGGTATTGTGTGCACAGTAATAGGCAGGTGACAACTGGTTGTTACACTAGTAGCTATATTCTTCTTTGGTGTTTAATAAATTCTTTACCCTAAATGGGACCTCTTTGAATAGTCGAATGGTTCTTGTGGCTATGATAAAAAAGATAATGGTGTGGCAGCGTTTCGAAGGGCTGAGATGATGGACAGTTTTGGCATAACGTGGTCCCCGTACTGGTGGTTAAACCTGTGTAGTGTTGTTCTTAGTTCAGAGGCGCCAATGTTCCTGAAATTGTCCCGATTTTGTATTTTACTCCTGCTTATACATTCATATTTTAAATTTAATCTCGATGTTCATATAATATTGCACTTTATAGAAAAACGACCATGATGCAAAATGCATATGACTTTAAAATCTGTAAATTTCCATGGGACCGCATAGTTCAGATTTTCATAACCTGTTGGTATCCTCGTTATTTAATTTTATTCCTGAAACAATCTTTCCTGGGATGCCATTATCAAAACATTTATAGTGGAGCATCAATATGGGAATGTCACTGCGTGAGTAATGTGCTGTGGGAATGAACTTTTGGATTCGTCAAATAAAAACCAGTAATTATATGTAGGGCTGTACACATGCGAACCCTGTGATGGTTTTTCTGTTTCCTAAAAGTTGAAATGTTAAAGTGACACAATACTTTTGATGGCCATGCGGAAATATGTACGTCAAGATTCTGTAGAGGCTCCAGGGAAGGTCCTTTTTTTTTCTTCCTTTTTTCTTTATATTTTCCCCCCTTCCCTTTGTTTGAGATATATGATATGTTACAAGAGTACTCTTGCTCTGATATGTGGCTAACTTAGCCGAAGTATTGCCAAAATGAGCTTTTTCATCATTAATTTGGTGATGAGCATGGTTTTGGTTTTAGTGTTTGTTTATCATGTTATTTTTTGTGTGGCTGTTGTGAATCGCTTGGTCAGATGGGTTTAAAATATGGAACAACTGGAATCATTACAAATTTGGAATGATGTTCTGAGGCATTTTCATATGTAGGAGTGGAGCATATACAGTAATTACCCGTTTGTTAATGAGCTGCATTAAAAGTTTTTGATTACAGGTGTGTTGGAATGTATAGGATTACATTGCCGTTGAAGTGTATTGCATTTTTTTGTGAATATGTGTTGCATTGCAACTGGTGTGTTACAGATTTCTGAATTACCACTTCATACATCACTAATTTTTTTTTATCCAAACCCCAAATTCCCTGTCTTTTGTCTCTCTGTCAGTGTGAAAGAAAGACTTGCCTTTCTTAACTTCTGTTTTTTAAAGCATGTTGTCGTTTGAATTTTTTTCTTCTGAGTTGAGTAAGTGATTTGAAACTCAATATACCCTTGGGAGGGCTAAATAGACTATCAGTGTCTGTGGTGTGCAGAAAATATGTTGCAACATTTTTTTAATGTCTTTCTGCTTGGGTGTTGTATACCTCTTGGGCTGGATTGGCACAGACAGATGGGGTCGAAATAGTCCACTTATATTATTCTTAGGTAAATAAGGCACATATAATTACATGTGTAATTGTAAGAGGGATTTTTATCACAGATTCAAGAGTTGACAAATATTAGACCCTGTGTAGAACTAACATGTGCTTGAAGGGCTGGTTTTTAAATCGTTTGTTGGTGGTATGAATAAACCGCACGTCTGGAAAAATATTGTGGGAGGGAATAAGGGTGCTGAACTTGCTTGTCCCTAATCTTGTCTAGTACCTATTGTCTTGCTTACTGTCAGTTTCAACAGAACCATTGTAACATCGACATGATTCTTTGCTGGAAACCAACAACAGGGTGTGGGGAATTATATTAGCACCAGTGTATAGTCTGTTTCTTCTTTTCTGGAACGAAG